GCCATGCTTACTTGTTTGAACTCTCAATTCCCTTGAAAAATAAAATAACTAGAAAACATGAATTATGAGGTAAAATATATCTTAATTGCAATATTAGAATCCTCATTGGAAATAGAAATAGAAATATAGGCTTGAAGTTTTTCTCTTCTTTTTTTTTCTAAGAAAAGACACTATATATCAGGAAAAGGTATCATAGTTTAAAAAAAAAAACTTTACAATTTCCTAACTTTTTGTAGCACAGATCTTAAGTATCAATTTTTTTTATTAATCCATAATCTGCTTTTTACACTAAATGTTCCTGGCATTCAAGGTGCCTAATATGAAAAATTAAGCCCACACTGATGACAACTGCCACTTCAGGGAAGGGGTAAGGTACAGCGGATGAAAGTAATTTAGGACTGGGATGTAGTTCAATTGGCAGAGGGCTTGCCTAGCACGCACAAGGTCCCATCTTCAACTTCCAGCAGTGCAGAAACAAAATGTAATTTAATGTTGTCTATAATGCTGTAGTTAAAAATATCTTACAAAAACAATTTTAAATAGTTCAACATTAAAACTTTATGAGTTAATGACAAAATATGTTAAGAGAGAAAAATGTTTAAATTTTCTAAGTAAAAATATCAAGAACAATTTCCAACTTTACAGGGTATGTGCTATGTTTAGTAATAATTTCTATATATAAAAGAAAAAATTCTTACTAAATATAGAAACCTTACCTATTAATATGAAATAAACATTAAAAAAATGGTCTTCACACCTTCATGGCTTTCTAATGTACTCCATAGAACTGATTTTCACTAAAATTATTTTACTTAAAGTTGACTTTCACAGGTGAATGAAGAGGGTAAAGAGGATGAATAGGGCCGATGCACTCGGTATTCGTGTCTGAAGGTGGACCACTGAACCTGCAGGGGCACTCTGTGTTACAGCAACACCTCCCCCCCCCAATATAAGTACTATATACTAAAAATGTTTTTAAAGTTGACTTTTATTTTAAAGATAAACAAACAGTGAAGAGAACTTCTGGAACTCAATAATAAATTTCAACTGAAGGCCTTTTCAAGAATTGCTATATGAAGACTACAACATTTATGTGTACAGGGGCAATGAAAACCACTAACAATTTTCTTAAGATATCACGGTGGTCAAAGTTATTCCCTCTCTCAGTGCTGCCCACCACCACAAATAGCCTCTACCCAATCCTTGGCCTGCTACTGACACTAAAAGATCTTGGCCAGTGGTAGAGTTCCTGCCTAGTATGCATGAGGCCCTGGGTTTAATTCCCAGAAATGCAAAATACAAAACAAAACAAAAAAGATGTCTTTACTTTCTGTGATATTAATTTCTGTTCTTTCTCTTCCTACTTTCCTGATAATGCCTTATCAATGTTCACAGAAGCCTCTTTTTACCTGAAGCCCTCCTTATGTGCTCCCAGGTAATTTCACTTACTCTAGCACAGTCTTCATTATTGCTCATGGCTCAAGTCTTTGTCTCTCACTCTTCTTCTAAGCTTTTGATGTGGATTCCCAGCTGTTAACCAACATGTCCACCTGCCCTCCACCCCCCAACCCCAAGTGGAATGTCCCAGTGTTTCCCATCTCAGTTACTGACAGCCATAGAAGTAACACTACTTCTAAGTCTTCCCCTTCTCTTTATGCCTTTGGTCCCTAAATCCTACGGGAAACCTCTGAGGCTCATTTTGTCACTCACATTTCAATCTACTGCCACTGCCCTCTTCATCTCATTTGGTAACAGAACAGTTCCTTACTGGTCTCCAAGCCTAATCTCTCCCAATTCTAAATCAACAACTTCCTGTTGCCAACAACTTCCAAACTACAAACTCAACACAGAGCACATAAAGTACAACATATATATGCTTATGTGTACCTGTACACCCAGTTGTATAGAGTGACTATATTCTTAAAAGGTTCAAAACCACTGTCTTCAGGATAAAGTGCACACTCCATAGCTTCTGAAATGGTCCATTAGAGTTGGGCCCCAACTTATATTACCAGCTTCAGCTTTTGCCACACTCCTCCTACATAGCTGATGTATTCCCTCAGATACATCGCAAACTAAGAATCACTTTTCCCGCTCTGCTTCTGCTAATTCCTATCCCCTTGTTACTGTTCCTTCTCCTACCTATGTGTCTCAGCAAATAAAAATAGCTGCTCTCCCTTCCATGCTCCCAGGTGCTTTCTTTCTTTATACCTCCAGCTCAGACTCACAGGACTACAAAACAAGTCAAGCATTCCTAAACCAAAAATCTAAAAGCCAAAATCTGAAACATTTTGAACACCAACATGATATTCAAAGTTTCAGATTCTGGAGCATTTCAGGTTTTGGGTTTTCCAACTAGAGATGCTGAACTGCAAAACCTGTACAAATACTCCAAAACTCAAGTCTGAAACAGTCGGGGGAGCATTTCTGACAAAGTGTACTCAAGCTGTTGATCAGTGTTAGAAAAATGCAAGTTAAACTAATAAAAATAAGTTTTCATTTATCATATTGGCAAATTTTTCCATTGATAATATGCACGAATGGCCACGATGTGGTGAAGCTGTTAGGCCCCAGGCTTGCTCGGGGAAATGCAAATTAGTACCGTATTTCAGGGGACCAATGTAGAGAGGAAACCTTAAAATATCCATACCCTCTGACTCAGTATTTTGTGCCTAGGAACTCATCCTAACAAAAAAAGAGGCATGTGGAAGGATATTTATTTATAGCAGCACCACTTAAAATAACAAATTTGGAAACATAAATGTTCAATAAATAGTTAAAATATACATTTTACAAAAACTTTTGGAAGGCAGCTGTGCTCACCACTATACAACACTGCACATACAAAAACTTCTGTATCACAAATATTTCTGTAAAATATCAGTGAAACAGAGAAGCATCATTAGATGATAACTGAAAATGAAAAACTTGGATAAATAGTACAATTAATGACATAAACGGACAAAATAAAGAATGGGAAGAAATATATCATATTAGTACTGCATTTATTCTTGGTTAGAGTCACTAAGAACATGTTAATAGTTTTAGTTTTGTAATTAAGATAAAGGTTTTTAGAGGCTTTAATATTTTTTTAATGTCTTTGTCAAACTTCAAAAAATATAAAAGTCAAATTTTTAAAAAGTCCTGAACATAGTGGATATAGACCATTAGTTAAGGAATTCAATAGCAAAAGCAGAGATACTAGAAGTTACCTATGAGGACAAGGTCACACGAATCTTAACTTTTTTAAGCTAAGGTTAAATTTGCTCAAGTTTCAGATCAGTAAGGGGAGAAAGACAATGAAATCAAGACATGAAAAAGAAGATAAAACAAGTAAATTAGACTTCTACCTGTTATTAAAATACAAAGATATAATGCAACAGCCACAAATGTGACACATAATGCAGTCAGTTCTAGTACCTATGTCCACATATCACACCTCCACCTCAGACAATCATTTAATAAATATACTTACTAGGCCTGGTGTGGTAGTACACGCCTACTTAGAATCCTAAGTACTTAGAAGGTGGAGATTGGGAGGATCATAGCTGGAGGCCAGCCTCAGCAAGAAGTTAGTAAGTCACAATGACAACCAACGCACTGGGTGTGGTAGTGCACACCTGTGGTTCCAGCCATGCAGAAGGTGGTAGATAAAAGAATCAACACCCAGGCTGGCCTGAGCAAAAACACTAGACCCTATTCAAAAAATAACTGAAGCCAAAAGGACTGGAAGCATGACTCAACTGTACAGGACAGGCCTCGCAAGTACAAGGTAATGTATATGTGTATATTGGCCACAAATACCGTCAGGGGAGAAAATCTGTAATTAGATTAAAGCTTATTATTCTACTAGAGAAAACTTAAAACAGATGCTCCTTAGATAGACCAGTACTGCAAGTTTTGAACCTCTCAGCAAGTGCTTTTTGAACATTTACTAAATGTAAGGCATTCTTTGAGACACAGTCCCTACCCCCCTAGGAGAATCTAGATGTAAAGTGTGAGCTAACAAACAAGTGTAAGGAGTACTGGGAAAGGGAACCATCATAGTATGGAAATACACGACACAGCAACCAGGACCAGCACCAGCTTCCATGAGGAAGTACGATCTAGGCTGAACATACAAATTAAAAACCAAATTCACAAATGAACTAGTCTAGAGAAAGGATTAGAAATGTTGAGCATAACTGATGAATGGATTAAGAAAATGTGGTATCTATACACAATGGAATTTTATGCAGCCATGAAGAAGAACGAAATGTTATCATTCGCTGGTAAATGGATGGAATTGGAGAACATCATTCTGAGTGAGGTTAGCCTGGCCCAAAAGACCAAAAATCGTATGTTCTCCCTCATATGTGGACATTAGATCAAGGGCAAACACAACAAGGGGATTGGACTTTGATCACATGATAAAGCCAGAGCACACAAGGGAGGGGTGAGGATAGGTAAGACACCTAAAAAATTAGCTAGCATTAGTTGCCCTTAACGCAGAGAAACTAAAGCAGATACCTTAAAGCAACTGAGGCCAATAGGAAAAGGGGAACAAGTACTAGAGAAAAGGTTAGACCAAAAATAATTAACCTAGAAGGTAACACCCACACACAGGAAATCAATGTGAGTCAATGCCCTGTATAGCTATCCTTATCTCAACCAGCAAAAACCCTTGTTCCTTCCTATTATTGCTTATACTCTCTCTACAACAAAATTAGAAATAAGGGCAAAATAGTTTCTGCTGGGTATTGAGGGGGGGGAGAGGGAGGGGGCGGAGTGGGTGGTAAGGGAGGGGGTGGGGGCAGGGGGGAGAAATGAACCAAGCCTTGTATGCACATATGAATAATAAAAGAAAGAAAAAAAAAAGAATCCTAGAAAGTATGAACAGAAAAAAAAAAAGAAAAGAAACGTTGAGCATATATTATTCTTCAGTTTAATACTTCACACTTAGAGAAATAATGACTATAACCACCAATGTTTTAATTAAAAATAATTATGATAGTACCTACCTATGCGAAGGTCTCTTTGTAAAACATTCTTATCATAAACATAGAAAGACAAATACTGGAAAGTTCTTGGAATCTCAAAGTAAAATTCTTCACTGAAAAATGGGCTAGAGAGAAATGGAAAGAAAGCTCACTACTTCAAATAATATCAACTAATTAACAATTTATTACTCTCACTATGAATAATTTATTAGTTACTATTAATATACCATTAATACTCAAATAGTATCTTCAGATATCACTTTCAATTAAAAAAACGAAATTACAAACTAAAATTCTACAGGAAAGAATTTCAAAAACCCTCAAAATAATTCTTAATGCTAAGTTTCAACTAAACCCAATACAAACCAAGCTTGAACTCAGAGGACTTTGTTGCCAAGATGAGTTCTAAACAAACAGCTTTTCAGGAGTCCTGTGGACAGAAGAGACAGTAATTGCCTAGGGGCCATACTCACCTGAAGTGGAATGAGGACAGTATTCTCCAAATCAATGTCTTAGAAATATGTAAACATATAAAGTTTATGCTAATTACAATAATATGTAACATTGGGTAATGTTATGTAAAACATCACTTTAAAAGTATTTTTAAAAGCTAAAACAAGTTATTTTTTAACTTTAGTGAGGTAATAAGTTAATATGATAAAATCTAATTTAGAGTAGAGATTAGTGACCTTTGACAAATTTATAAACCTGGGTAGCCTCCACCCCAGTCAAAACATAAGACACTGCTAGCTCCTCAGAAAGCTCCCTCTGTCCCACTACAGTTACCTCACCTCACCTGCCACAGACAATTTGATTTCTATCACTAAGATCTGTTCTGGAACTTCATATAAATGGAATAGTGTGCAATGTACTTTTGTGCCCTGTTTCCCTCAGCTTAATGTCTATGAGATCTTTTTCTCATAGTGTATTGTACATACACTCCATTGTATTTCATAATCCATTCTCCTAGTGCCATCATTTGAGTTGTTTCTGGTTTGGACAATTAAAAATAAGCCTGCTATGAACATTTTTATACTAAGCCTTTTCTGGGCATGTACTTCAATTCTTCTGGATAAGTAACTACAAGTAGAATTGCTAAGTTAAAAGGCAGGTGAGTGTTTAACTTATAGAAAACTGTCCAACTACTTTCCAAAGTGGTCATTGACATTTTGCACTCCTACTACAAATATGAGCATTCCAGTTGCTCTATGTCTTGGTATAGAGCAACAATCTTTTAAATTTTAGCTCTTCTAGTGAATATGACATTATAAAGTTATACATCTGTGTACCTTCTATCTTAATTAAGATATAAAACAATCTATTGTCCCAGATATTTCCCATGTATCACCCAGCAACCACCCCCACCACACTGTCACAATCAACCAGTGAAATTTCTATCATTACAGATTATGCTGTATAATCTATCTTTCTGCTCCAGAATGAAAAGATTCTTTAATAATACAACCATGAAATGCAATATAGTTAGGATGTCATAACTAAATGAGAAGATGAAATGCAAAGTAAAAATACTCTTATAGAAGTCATTTCTGACACCATCAGAAGATAGATGCCTTAGCTTTTTAGTTATTATAAAGTCTGGTCAGCTTTTGCAGTATATTTTTCACTTCAAGTGCAAATAAAATTAACTTTTGAAAGTAACTAGAGTATTTTAATTAGTTTCAACACAGAAATCAATACAAAAGCAACTATTAGAAAAAGATGACATTAGTATTCCTATACTTTGTATTATTTTATAAACAATTATAAAATGAAGAATTTCTTTAATATGTCACATCTGCATTCAAACATTATTTCAAAGTGCATTCTAGAAAAACAAACATAAGAATTATTAAGCTATCTGTACTACTATGATATCACAATCTCAATAACCTAAGCTTTACATTTAATTGGTCACATCTTTAAAAAACAATCAATGCATTTGAAGAATGCTTTTTAACAAGGCTGATAAGGAGCCATGACTAGATTTACACCGTGTTTAAAACACCACCGTACTAACTCATAGGTATGATACTCATAGGTATCACTAACCTATGAGTATGCTGAGCTCCTGAGTAAACTCCTAGTGCATGGCGGTACTGCTGCTCGACTTGTTTCTATACCACCTATTTCATAAAAGGATTTGCGGGATAGGTTACAAGCTAAACCTCTTACCTCAAATCTTTCTGGGCTATTAAACTATATTTAGTCTCATACAATACCTTTCCTATGAACAACTCAATAGATATTCAAAATTATAAAAACTGAAAATAAAGTCACAGAAACTTCAAAGGAAAAAAGAATAAAGAAAAAATCAAATTTCTACCTATGCATAAAATCCATAAGGGATCTAACATGTATCTACTGACTTTTGGCTTAACTGCTTACTACCACATCCACAGTGCTGAAAGCACGGAAATGGAGACAAGGTGAACAGGGTTTTTACTTCAGAATCTTTTGCCCTCTTCCATAAGGAGGAAGAATGCTAGGGGCCAGAATCCAAGAAACATCTCTAACTATGCTGAAACTGCCTCAGGTGACACTGCTAGACTTAAATGATCTTCCAAGTTGCTATGCAGCTTGTAAAACAAAAGATGGATAACGAAAACTGGTTTCATCATTTTTCACTACAAAAACATTCAGGAAGGCCAGGGTTAAAAAAAAAAAAAAAAGCAGGGTAATACTAGTTACTCATTTATAAGGCTACATGTTAAGAGACTACAAAAAGTATCCAATTTGTGACACTTATTTGTTTATATTTGTATATCACTAAATACCTTGAGATACAAAATCTGTGTATGTTAAAAGTCACAAATTAAATTTCAATAGTTTCAGATCCCCAATCTCAGCTTTGCTTCTAACTTCCTTCATTATCTGACAAATTATTCAGCCTTTTGGTAACTCAGTTTCATCATTTATAACTACAAATAAAATATTGTTATTTAGAAATTCTATTTACAAATATATACCAAATTCTAATACAACAGGGACAGATGGTTTATGACTAAAGATTTGAAGTGTATTACTCCAAACCCTTCTGGGGTACATAATATCTTAAGAAGAGCTCAATAGATAAACAAAATTATAAAAACTGAAAATAAAGACATAAAGGGGCATGTGGTAGCAGTCACCTATAATTCCAACGCTCAGGAATCTGAGGCAGGAGGACTGCCAAATAAGAGGCCATCCTGGAGCTACACACTGACACCCTGTCTTTTAAAAAACAAACAAACAAAAAAAGATGTAAAGAGAAACTTCAGAAGAAAACAAAGGCTGTCTAGAGAACTTACATGGTAGTTGTTTTCAAAAACTTGAAAGAGTGCCAGTGCAGTGGCTAATGTCTGTAATCCCAGCTACTTGGGAGGTGGAGATTGGAAGGACTGTCATTCAAGGCCAGCCTGGGCAAAGAGTAATTGAGACCCCTCTCCACTGCAACAAAAAACTGGGCATAGTGGTGCACACCTGCCATCCCAGCCATGCAGGAGGTGTAAGTAGGAGGATCATTCATAGTCCAGGCTGGCACAGACAAAAAACACGAAATCCTACCTGAAAAATAACTAAAGCAAAAAGGGCTAGCAGCGTGGTAGAGGGCTTGACTAGCAAATGCAAGGCTCCAAATGTTCAAACCCCAGGATCACACAAAAAAAAGCCATTGAAAGTCACATGTGAAAGACAGATTAAACTTGTTCCACAGAAATCGAATGACAGAACTAAGAACAATTAAGGAAAAGATACATTTTTAGGTAATTAAAAGCAAGCACTGCATCTATCTCATTTTCACAGACGTATGAATAAATGGAACCCTGCAAGTTCTTGGTGTAAAGTACAGTCTTATTTTAATAATTATTAACTAACTAAATATAAGCATCTCCTAAGAGTCAAAATAGTTCAAAGACCAAACAGGCTGCTTTACCATTTTTAAGTGGATGCCATATAATCATTTGTCAAAACTACTGTCACGAAAGGAGTCTGGGGCTGGCGGAGTGGCTCAAGTGGTAGAGTACCTGTGTAGCAAGCATGAGGCCCTGAGTTCAAACCCTAATGCTGCCAAAAACTAAACAGCAACAACAAAAAAAGGAAGCCCAACTCAATTTACACTCAGCTCAAACTCTTAGATACTATAATTCTAAAAATAAATTCATAACGTAAAAGGAAAGTGTCAAATGAAGGAAGTCTTCTAGATGACAACAATCTGAAAAATGCATAAACTTGATCAATCAACATGCACCATATAAATGATAATTTCCAATTTTTCTACCAACCTTAAAGATTTTTCAACAACTTGGGTTCGATAAACTTCTTCCTGGTCCAAATTTATAGTGCAGAAACAATCTCTCATTTTGTTGGGTCCAAGATAAGGCAATAAATTTTTTGCTTCACCTGTTGGTACAAAAATTAAAATCGGTGTAAATACCACCAGTTGCTCTACGCTAAGCCTTATACATAATGAATTCAATCTGAGAGAATGTATTATGTGCAGCATAGAAAAAATCGACCACTAGTGATTATAGAAAGATCAACTTGTACAACTCGAGGAAGGAGCTGTGTATGAAGGGGCAAGTGAGGTCCTATGATACCACTGTATCTGGGCCCCCAGCAAAGGGTAATCACCCTACTGGTGTTCTCTACCCCATCCCATGAGGGCCACTTCAAGGACTGTTCTATAATGAATCCCTCTTTCCTGACTCTGTATTCATTTTCCTTTCTACCAGATTTTCATCAGCATATAAACAAGTACAGATGTTTCCCAATTAAAAAAAAAAACAAGACGAAAAAAAACCTCCCTTGATTCTAGCCCTCCCTCTGGCTATCACTTCATTTCTAGACTCCTTGCTCAAAAGCATCATCTCTAGTCATCAGCTCTACCTTCTCACTTTCCTTCATCCTTTGACCCTCTCCAATGAGCTCTGAAACTCACTGAGACCCTGAAACTGCTCCAGCCAAGGTCTCCAATGCCTTTCTTCCTCATATACACAACCATGCAGCATCATTTAATACAAATGAACATTACTGTCTCTCTTTAAATGCTCTCTCCTCTTGGTTTCCACAACACAGTATTTCTATGCCTTGGCTTACCCACTTCTCACCTCTAAATGTTGCAACTGCCTCAGGGTTTAGTTATGGATCACCTCTTTTTTGCTCTATGCAAATTCCTGCAGTATGTGGTGCTAATGCTGGTGCCTCCCAATTCTGCATCTCCAGGCCTGACCTCCCCTCCTCAACACCGTATGTAGATATCCAGCTGGCTTAAGATATCCAGTGTGCATCTCAATGTAGTGGGTTCCAGACAAACCATCTGATTTCCTCTTTTACAGCATGCTCCTTCCCCAATCTACCACCATCTTCCTCCCTTATTCTCACCATTCTCTTACTACCTCCTACTCCAATACCCATCAGCAAATCAAGGAGAACTCCAAAATAAACCCTAAACCCAATTACTTCTTTCCTTCACTGGTATCATCCAAATCCTAGACACCATAATCTCTCATTTGGACAAACATGACCACTCCTGACTGGCGTCTCTGCTTCCACTATTGCCCCTCCTGCAATCCATTCTTCATCAAGCAGTATGATCCTTTGAACTATTATTTAAGTCAGTCACTCCCCAGCACCAATCTCCTGTCTATACCAGTCTATACAGCTCTAAACTGTTCTTTCTGAGTTCATCTCTGATTTCCCCCAGTGTCACTTTCTTTCCATTTATCAGCCATGGCACAGTTGTTTAAGCTCAGGACCTCTGCCTGGAACACTACTCCTAGATCTTCACTTAGCTGGCACTTTATCATTCAGGTCTCAGCTCAAATGTCACTTCCTCAGAGGAACCTTCTCTGACTAGCCTATCTAAAATAGATAATACTGCTACTATATTCTATTTCTGTTTTGTCTCCTTGATAACATTCATAACTATCTAAACCTGCTAATTTTTCCTTAAAGAGTTTTTCTGCTCCCCTCTGAGGCCTGAGAACCTATTCATCCCCAAGATTAAAACAGTGACTGGCATATAGTAAATATTGAGAAACGTTTGCTAAGGAATGAGTAAAGTACCTAGCAAGTCTAGTTTTGAAGTTCTTGTTAGATACTCATGGATCAAAGGTGTTAGAAATAGTTTTCAAGGCAAATCATTTAGCCCTAAGCCGCTTGTTTGTGAAACAGTTTATGGATATTGGGGGAGAGGCAACTGATACACGAACTTAAACTGGATGGGGTAAATCACAATAGAGTGAGGGAATGGATTACATTCCAGAAAGCACATAGCACATGGAGACCTTCCTGCTACAAAGGCAGATAACCTCCTAAAGCCTGCCTTTAAAATTTGAGCAATCCCAAGTGGCACATTTTAAATAACCCAATAGGAATTAGGTGACACTGTAAAAAGAATGTAAACCCCAGTGTACTCAGCCAATGAGGAATGGGGGGAGGGACTTGTGGACTAGACAATATAATGCTATTATAACAGCTTCAAGGTCTCTGCTCCTCAGGCACCCAACCTTGCAAGGATGCCATTAAAGTCTCATTTTCGCTGTACTCCATGTGTCTGAGTCCATTCTTTTGAGTTTGGACAGGTGAGCCTATTTCTCACAAAGGAACACTGGTGTTTTCTGAATTCAAACATCAATGTATAAATCTAAGAAAGTAAGGTAGCTGGCCCAAGGGAAAGAACATTTGCCAGAATCATGAAATCAATGTTGCACGACTTCAGAAAAATCACTGACAGTTTTCCCGAAGGTCTGTACTAGATAAACCTCAATCTCTTTCTGCTAATCAACTTTAAAACACAAGGCCACTGAAACCAATATATTTTAAAGTTTATTAGAAACGTAAGAAGCATCTATTAAAAAAAAAAACTCATTAAACAACTTTTAAAAATGAAAGAAAACCAATGGAGAGGCACCAGTAAGATGTTGTTACTAAACTTGTCATTGAGAGATTAGAAAAAAAATCAAATTACTGCTTAACTAGAACAAACAAATCATACTAACTTCAAGTCAAAATCATAAACAAGGAATCTACCCTTGTAAATGACCCCAAAATTGCCTAAAATGAGTTAGCCCTTCCAAGTGAAGCCGTTCCCTAACACGAAAAATAATATATATCTGCCTCCATCCCATCTGCCTCTTCCTTAAATGACTAGCTATCCCTCCTCCTCTTCTTTTTTTTTTTTTTCTTTTTTGTGGTTTTGAGGATGGAACCAGGGCTCACACATACTAGAAAAACATCCTACCAGTTAACCCGTGCCCTGCCCTCCCTCCCCTTCCTATCTGAAGCTCATCCTCCCACTTGTGCGCTCTACACCATTTCCTCTCTCCCTTCAGGACCCTGCCTAGCAGGTCTTTTCCGTGGTTTTAAACTTTCCTTCAGCCTCTCCTCCTTTGACATTTCCCCTCTGCATAATCCATCCAAGAGATGAAAAAACAAAAATATATCTAGGCCACCATATAGATCCTGAAATATAAAAGAATTTGGCATTAGATCTTAATAAATATGCTGCATATCTAGAGGGAGACTTTGCGTCAAGAAATCACTGACACGCTACTGGTTTGTTCAGTTTGAGAAATAATGCCATACAAATGTGCACAGAATCTCCTCTCTTCTTAGGGGGAAGTAACAGCATCATTGTGTCTACAGGATACAATGAATTTGACATTATCAGTATTTACTTACAATAAAACTTAGGTTTGTTTTATAATGTAAAAAACACACCCAATATCACTTCCTGTAAAAGCAGTTCTCATCGTGCCTTTTAGGTGTCTACCACTGATTAAAGTTCAAATAAACTATGGTTGAACATTAATTCATCTGATCAATTCTCGGCTCACTAATCAATCATACAAATATTTTAAATCAGATACCAGGACTTTAAACTGTAATTCCAGAATACAGTAGTATTTAATTGGCACTTCCTGAACAATATAATCAAAAGTGAAGTAACTGATGTCTAGAGACATAATTCAAGTACTGTTACCGCTATCATATCTCTAAGTAGAAAATAAATGTGAATACACACTACATCAAGCTACACAAAAGACCAAAGTGAAGAACTGTAGATGGCACTTGTTCATGTGCAGTATTTGCACAGGGTCTTACCAGCTCTAACCAATTTTAGTATATAAGCATTTGCACGGGACAAAATAAAAATCTATTTTCCTTGAAAACCTAAGCTTCTTGAAAACTTATTCTCTGCCTCCAATCCTTTCCTTCTACTAATGCCTAAACCTGCCTGCAGTTTAGCATCTTGAACCGACTCCTTATCTGGAACATTTAAGAACACTAATAAGTGCTATAAAATCAAATGGCTGCTTTTCAGTTTCCACCTTATTTGACCACTTCTCAGTACTTACTAACACTAATCCCTCTCAGTTATGTAACCCATTCTAAAATGGTCTTTTACTCCCTCTTGCAGGCTTTTTATCCACTAAGCACATCTTAACTGTGAAGAAACTTTTGACATAGACCATTTAATTTATCACAGAGATAAAGGACCAATTTTAAGTATTTTTAAAGATGTGTTATAATAAAACAATAAAATATACTAAAAGACAACAGTTTTTTGACCTCATTTGGTGGTGTTATTTTCACTTAACTTATTTATATCCCATTTGTTGATGGCAGTCTTAAGGACAGTCAGGTTTCATATCTACAGCAGATACAGTAAATTAGTGTTAAACATCCATTTCAACCTCCTTCAAGGGTATTCCTTTGAATATTGCAGAAAACAGAAAGCTAACAACTACATTTCCTAGCTTCTCTTGTAGCAAGGCTTGTGAATATTTTAATTTCCACCAATCATTCTCACTCATTTGTGGAACCTAACTTAAAATGATGATAATAGGTCATGAATGTGAAAGGCAGATGATGGGGGGGCACAACAACAGGGGAGGGGAAGGGAAAAGGAAAAGATAGTGGGTGGGGGAGGTCCAAAATATGCTACTTGTGTTGTTTGATGACAACATAAGGAAACCCAGCACATTGTTTGAAAGAGAGGAGAAGGGAGAGAATAGGGCAATAAGAGGGGTGAGCTTCTTCAAAGTGCATTGTACACATGTATGGAATTACCACAATGAAACTCCCTTGTATTATTAATGTATACTAATTCAAAATATAATAAACTATTTTTAAAAAAAGAAAAACTTCCACCAATCAGAATCACTCACTAGAAAAACTGATGACACAAGAAAAAGGAGGTTGAGTTTAGCCTGCTTATACTAACAAGCACTGTCCTACATGTATGTCCATGTTCTACAGCAGGGTTTGTAGAAACCCTGGGATTTAGTCACAGGTTTCCTGTACACTAGGAAGAAAAGCATGAGGCACCCATTCTGCAGTAGAGGCTGTGACAACAGTGACAATAACTTACTGATGGAAGTGACTGTTTGTGGGCA